CAGAAAGGCACAGCCACACCTGGCTTTTATGTGGAGACTTGAAATCAGGTCCTATTTCTTAAAAGTTCTTTTCACACTCTAGATATTAACCCCATATCCGGTAGTTGGTACCGTCTCCCTACTCTGTAGACTGCCTCTGTACCTAATTGACTCAGCCCTCAGGCAGTGTTGCCAAGTCACAGACTTGGCATTAGGAACACCAAGTCATTGGGTAAAAGGTGATTCACACTTCAATTCTCCCTTCTTCCAGGCGCAGAATAATTCTGAGCTAACATTTAAGAGTAATCTGTACTCATTCTATTTCTATGATTACTTTCCCTTTCTTGTGATAATTTTAAAAATCCATTGAAAGTATTTTCTTGGTGAAGAATATGAATTTAGGAAGTTCCATATTGTCTTCTAGCAGGGGGAGGGTCTGTGTGAATGGCAGGGGTGGGCTGAGTACCCTAAGGAGCTTCAGAATCACTGGCTATGCTCAGGGACAGGGTAACTGGACCTGTGGGCCTTGGTGATAGAGGACTTGTATAGGGGGACACTTTTCCTTACCCTGCAGTCCTGGATGGTGGTGGAACATAGTCCCCCCAGCTACACATCAAACATACAAAGGTATTCTCTTAATCCCTGTAACCTTTTCATATCAAACCAGCTGTCTCCATCACTGAGTTGAAAGTGTGAGCTAATCAAAGTCTTTGTTTTAGCAGCTGTCCTTACAGAAAGAACTCATGCTCTCACCAAGGTGGAAAACTAAATAGCAAAGGTTATGATAAACTGAACTCCCTGTGGGGCCTGCAAGCAACATTCACTGGATTAATGACTCCTAACATCCCCTCTTCTGTCAGGCACCATTCTGGAACCTACTCTTACTCTTGGGAACTGGGGTATCTGCCAATGCATTCTCTTACCCTGTTGAGAGCAGGTACCAGCCTTGGTGACTAGATCCATCTTCTGTCCCAAAGTATGCCACAGCATAGACTTGCATGATTCCGCCACTAGGGAGCTAAGATTTGATTCATTGACTATAAATTAAGAGTCAGGTTAGTCCTGTTTACCTGAGTGACACGTGCTTGTCTCCTTTGCCTGGCTTTTCAGGACTCCGGTAGACAGGCCACACCTAGGCTTGCTTGCAGGCTTCCCCGATGGAACACCAGCCTCTTGTTATCCAAGTCACTCTTGAAGCCCATGGTGGAGATCACCAGAGTGGGTGCACAGATATTAAGTCATAGTCCTTTGGAATAAATAGTTTCAGAATGCCTGTATTCCTTAAGGAAATTAAATATTACCTGACGTGATAACATTTTACTTACCAACCATCTCTACTGATGCACAGCTGGGGACAGTGGGCTCAGAAGACCAGCCTGGAAAGTGACCATTTGATTATTCTCTTAACAAGGTGTCCAGGAAGCTTCATCGGCTGTCTTTATGTGTGTCTTCACCGGCTCTTGTATGGCTTGCTTGAGGTTCTGTTTTAGATGTTTGAAATTCACATAGCGGTGATATGAAATTTCACCAGTGATAGAAATGTAAATAAGTTCTTAGATGTAGCCTCTGGAGTTCCGTGATTGATTTCTGAGTTAGGCTTACTATTGGAATGATGTAGCACCATGAAGAAAAGCACCTTTCAGAGGAAAGGGACTGGTGGGTTACATTTCCACATCACTGTTTATCACTAAAGTCAAGGCAGGAACTCAAGCAGGGCAGGAATCTGGAGGTAGGAGCTGAGGCAAAGGCCATGGGTGTAGGGGTGAGGGCATGGTATGTGCTGATTACTGGCTTGCTCCTCATGGCATGCTCAGCTTGCTTTCTTATAGCACCTAGGCCCACCAGCCCAGAGCAGTGCCACCCACAGTGGGCCCTCCCCTATCAATCACTGATTTCAAAAATGCCCTATAGGCTTGCCTACAGCTTGATCTATGCAGGAATTTTCTCAGCTGAGGCTCCCTCCACTCAGATGACCTTAGTTTGCATCATGTTGACATAAAAGCTAGTCAGCATAGTTCTTTTGGCAAATTACTTTGAGAGTGGAAACCTCTCTGATTTCCTGGTGGTCTCATATCCTGAAACCAGGGGAGCTCAGTGTTCTTTCCTCCTGTGTTTGTGCCATCCTAGGGATGGCTGTCACGGCAACCGAGCAGAGGTGAAAAGACCGTGTTTGCTGCCACATGGTTTCCTAAAGAACATGTAGAATCTCTCTAAAGGGCAGTGGCTAGTTACCATATTTAGCCAACATATTATATTGGCTGTGATATTGTTAAAAACAGTCAAACTAGAGAAAATTCTGTAGCATAGTTAGAATGCCACTCTCCCAGGGCCCAGGCAAGGCTGGAGTCTTTTGTATCATTCCTTGGTTTCTGTACCTAACGGCACATGTCTAGCCCCTCACAAAGGGTGGTAAACTCTTGAGGTAACCTAGGCAGCAGCACCTCAGCTTGGAAAACATAGATTGATGTTTTATCTGTGTTTAAGAAAATGAAAGAAAAGAAAAAGAAAAGGTCTCTTCAAAAGTGAATTTCAAGGCCAGCTAGAAGGCTCAGTGCATAAACGTGCTTGCCCCCAACTCTGACAGCCTGAGTTCAGCCTCTGAGTTCCCACACCGTAGAAGGTGAGCATTGGTTCTCGAACGTTTCCTCCGACTTTCACATTCCCATCATGGTGTGAACACCCATGCACCCTGAAACCCTCAATGCAAAGCAAAATTTATTTATTTATTTTTAAAAGATTTATTTATTTATTTCATGTATATGAGTACACTGTAGCTGTCTTCAAATACACCATTACAGATGGTTGTGAGCCACCATGTGGTTGCTGGGAATTGAACTCAGGACCTCTGGAAGAGCAGTCAGTGCTCTAAACCACTGAGCCATCACTCCAGTCCCACAAAATAAAATAAAATAAAATAAAATAAAATAAAATAAAATAAAATAAAATAAAATAAAATAAAATAAAATAAAACAAAACAAAATAAAATAAAATAAAATAAAATAAAATAAAATAAAAATGTTAGTTTCCTGGCTGGAAAGATGGTTAAGTAGTGCCTGCTGCTCTACAAAGCTGAGTTAGGTTCCCAGCACCCACACTGAATTTGAATCTGCCTATTCTTTACAATTTTTTTCTTTTTTTATACATTCATTTATTTATTTAGTGTGTGTCGGGGCCACATGTGTGCTGTGGCTGAAGAGACCAATATTGGCTCAGGACCCCCAAGACCATGTTCCCAGGACAAAGGAGGTTTATTTGCCCCAGAGGGTCAGAGGGTGGGGAATATGAGACAAGGACAGGAGAGAGAGGATGAGGGAGAAGAGGAAGGGGACATGGGAGAGGGGGAGGGGTATCTGTCCTGGAGTAGGAACAAAAGACTGCCTCTGGATAGAGGAGACAAACATGGCCCATAGGAAAATGGTGGTTTATAAAGGGAAAAGGGAAAACCTGTGTTAGCTGTTTAATTTTAATTGACATGTTAATTAGGTGAGCCAAAGAGAGCTTTTGATTGCTGAACTTCAATATTTTGATAGCTGGACCTTGGTAGTCAGCTTCAGGAGAAGGAAATGGCCAAATAAGGGAATTGACCTTGGGGGCTAGCCTTAGGAATGTAACCTAATGGCTTTTAGCAAGGCAGAGGGAATGGAGAGAAGGGCAAGGCCTGCCAGGGCTATGCTCACTACTCTCCAGCTGCCCAGAGTCCCTTCAGTGAAACAGGGAGGGCAGAGGACAAGTTATGGACAAGTTGTCAGCTTTCTCCTTCCACGATGCAGGTCCTGAGGAGGCCTGAACTAAGGTCACCAGCCTCAGCAGCAAGCACCTTTAGCTATTCATTATTTTCCTGTTCTTAATAATCCATACCAGTGGGATTATGCAGTATTTGTCCTTCATGCTCAGTGTCTTCCACTTATCATAATGTTTTCAGAGTTGTGGTGGTTTGAATAGGAACAGCCCCCATAGACTCCTCTGTTTCAATGCTTGGCCATAAAGAGTGCTACTATCAGGAGGTGTGGCCTTGTTGGAGGAAGTGTGTCACTGTGGAGGGGGGCTTTGAGGTCTCACAGCTATAACCAGTGTGGCACACAGTTTCTTTCTGCTTCTGGTCAAGATGTAGAACTGTCAGTTCCTTCTCCAGCACCATGTCTGCCCACACGAGACCAAGTTTCCTGCCATGAGGATACAGGATAAACCTTGGAACCTCTAAGCCAGCCCCAATTAAACATTGTGCTTTATAAGAGTTGTTGTTGTCATGGTGTCTCTTCATAGCAAGGAAACCCTAAGATAAAAGTTAATCCAAATTATAGAATGTATGAAAACTCCATTTCTTTTTGTGACTGGGAAACACTCTGTTTTGTATACACGATGTTTTATTACCCACTTATGTGTTGATGGATATTTGAGCTAGTCCTCTAATGAATCTCGTAAAAAAGACATAAAGTGGGTGTAGGGAGGTGGTGCGGCTCTTAAGAGCACTTACTCATCTTCCAGAGAATCCAGGTTCAGCTCCTACACAAAGCAGAAGACTCACAACTGTGTGTAACTCCAGCACGAGGGGATCTCAGATCTTCTCTAGCACTCATACGTACATCCATGCCTGTGCGTGCCTCACATTGTGTATGTATGTGTGACATGGGGATGTTTATGACAGGGCACAAATGTCAGAGGACACATCTCTGGAGTCAGTCCTCTCTTTCCACCCATGGGTTCTGCAGCCCAACGTCAGGTGTCCATCTTGCAGGGAAAGCTGTCTATCCACTGAGCAATCTCAGCAGCCCTGACATATTAAAAAAAAAAAAACTCTAATTTTTTTTTACTGTATTTGTGTAACATATGTGTTGAGATATAATTCAAACTGGTGAGTTAGAAACAACGTGGCAGTGTGTCTACTACACAAACCTTGCCTTTTTTTTTCTGCCTTAAAGCACATTAGCACACTGGGTACAATTGTGACATTCAACCACCACTGCTCCAAGCTCCTGAACCCTCAACCATCACAAGGAGAGGCCCCATGTCCAAGGCTGACATAGTTTTAGAAAGATTTTATTTTATTTTGTCCCTCCAATTGGAATAATCATGTCATAACAAAGGAACCAGTTCACAAGTTAAATAAAACCGTCTTCAAGGCTAAACAAAATCGGAAAGAACTAACATTAATATTTCTAAAGATAGGTTATCAATCTTTTCTTTTTGTATAAAACATGAAAATCCAATGAGACATAATCTGAGACATATTCCTTTCTATTTGTTTTATCAGACAAATCCTCCAGTCATTTTTAAAAATCACATTTTGAAAGTCGTTTAAAACCCATTAGTATGTTAACGTTCCAAACACAGTTGAACTGAGGACAGCTGTTCTGAGAATGAGAAGGAAAGATCAGATCAGTGTTATGAAGTAGGAACCTTCCGTCTCAGAATACTAAAGGCCACCTATAGCTACAGAAGAAGGGCACAGGGGGCGTGTCCAGACTCACGTCACTCAGACTGCCACAGTGTTTGGAGTAAGAAGTGGCCTGATGGCAGGCTATATGCCAGCCCACAGGTACAGGTTGGTAAAAGATGTCATTCGCCATAGCACCATTTTCTTATAATACTCTTACCGTAATAAAATGCAGAATATTAATGACCAGGAAATGTTGTGACTGAGCTGAAGAGGACTGTACATATGATATTGTTTGGTGGTTTTAATTTCTAGCGCTCAGTGAAGGATGGAAGAGGAGATCATTGGCAAAGGAGATGTCCCAGAAAACAGAATTGTCTTCTGCCCACCTACAGAGGACATCACAGACCTGCCATTCATTGACTGTCCAGATAGACAGATATTCTTCCACTGGTGCAGAGGTGGGATGGGACAGCTTTAGGACAGAATAGTAAGGGCTGGTGAATATTTACACTGTCCTTACAGTAAGCTCACTGGACTAGTAAATCTCATGGTGACTCTTTCTTGTTTACTCTGTTCATTCATTTAAAAAAAGTACTGGCTATCTACTATGTCTCAGACATGGTTGCTGAGGTTGGTGATAAACTGTGAACAAGACAGTGGTGCTGATAAGTACAGCACCACTCCCTGCGGTGAATCTGGATGGACTCTATCAGTAGGATGTATGAGCGTCAGAGAAAGGCTTCAAGGTCAAATAGTGTATCCTCATTCTTCAACCGCAGAACCCAGAGCAAGGCAGTGGAACAGAGACTGGAAGGAACATGGATGGTGTCTCCTCTGCTTTACTAAGACCAACATTCCAGACATTGGCCACTTCCTTTCTCAGACTGCTCCATCTGTCATCTCAGGGCAAAGAGGTGTTGTCCTGGCCTTTCTCACTACTACTTGAGTAAACAGCATAGACCATGGCATACTGGGAGACACAGCCACAATCTTGACAGATTCCATGCAACTATGAATAAATCTCCTTAGCAGAGGCCACAGACCCACAACTCCCATTAGCATGGACATGGAATGACCAGTCCACCTCTGGGCAGAGCTTAGGGCTATCTTGAAGCTCAGAATGGGTGGCACAGAGGGGAAAGAGACCTCAGGCACAGGACAGTGAAGTCCAAAGGCATGACAGGAATAGAGCCACACAAGCTGGGTAGCAGAAGTCTAGACAGAATGAGTAATAGCGGGTGGAGATGGGGGGATAAAAACACATTTAGTTATGGGGAAACCAAAATCAGGGCACAGGCATGCCTCCATGCTGGCTTACTGCAATGGGCTGTATGCTCCACGGGGAGATGAGTGAGCGAGGGCTGAGTGGACGAGTCACGGATGCAGAAAGCCTGAACAAGATCTCAGACAGGGAGCCCTCACAGCCAACAGAACCACTAGCAAGCATCTGCTCCCTGCCTTTGTTACAAGAAATGTGCCTTGCCAATAAAACTGGTTATTAGCAGAGGGAGTTCTAACAGCTGACTTGTGAAGCAAAAAGAGTCAGCTGCCCTGGTCTCCAGGACTCAGGGATAACTTCCTATGTCAAGTTCCCAGCGTCTGCAGTTTAGGAAGCAGGATGAACCCAGCCACACTGGCCCCCAGACACTAACTCCAGCCAACAGCAGGATCCTTCCAGATTTTACTGGCTTTCAAAATGTACTGTGGGTTGAAATTGGACTCCTTTGGTGGGTTATGTAGCAACAGGGCCAGGTGACAGGGTGGGGGATGATAAAGAAGAGAAGCCAGGAGAGTAGGGGCCTGTGGTCTAGCCTGAACAGACATGTGCTCCAGCCCCTTCCTGCCCCTGCCTCCCAGAGCCCTACATCCAGGGGCTCCACACACCAGTACCCTTGGGATCACAGCGGGGGTCCAAAGGTGGGAAGTAAGAAGGCACAGAATGTTCATGGTAGTACTGTAGGCGGGAAAGAAGGTTCTGGACGATGTGGGGATGCTCCTGGGACACATCGTGTCTTTCTTCAGGGTCCCGATTGATATCAAAGAGCCAGAGAGTCTTGGTTGATGGGTCCACTGAAGGTATCTCAGAGACGTTAGACTGAGATGGAGGTGGGAACCAGTAACCACAGCCTGGCAAAGAAATTAAACTTTAGTAGGGGGAAGAGACACTGTTGGTGGGTTCTAATCTCAGGAATCTAGGGACAGGGCTTCCCTGGCTTGTAGGTACGGTCATATATAAAGAAACAAACAAAAGCCATGTGCCTTTTGATGTTGAGTCTAGATTTGTTTCAGAATATGGTTTCCATTCCATAATGATACAGATCCTATAGCTTTACAACAAGGGACATTAAAAACTGTGTGGGGTGGTAGCAGGATGGGGGTCTTAGTTGTCACAATGGTTGGGGGGGGAAATGAGGGTACTCCTGGTGTCAAGCAAACAGCACAGCAGTTCTAAGATCTCTTGCAATATGTGGGACAGTCCCAAACAATGAACTGTCATTGTAAACACCAAGAACACTCATAAGCTAAGCACTGCTAAACTGTACCAGAGCCTGTGTAAATATGCCAGATTTACAAAACACTGAAGCTGTCTATTTCTAAGGAAGGGAGAAGGGAAGCAGACTCTTGCCCCAGCGAGAGCATTGGTGAAGAACTACAGTTAGCTGGGTGTGCTATGTTTGACAGTTACACATGTCTAAAAATCCATATATGTTTATGAAACACTCAAGTGGGATATCTCCTCTTACCCCCACTACAGACAACAACAACAACATCCACTCAGAGGAGGGTCAGAGTGAGCAGCTGAAGCCATTCTGCCACCCTGCAGCTTCGGAGATAGATTGAGAGAGTCAGCCCTCAGTTTGGTGAGCATTCTCTCACTCTTCTGTTTGGTAGGAAGTCGACTTAGGCTGACGACAGAAGTTGTGTAATATGGACCAGACAGAGGCTTAAAAGAAGGCCATGAAACCACAAGAAGATAGCTGTTTTCTTAAGATCTGCAAGGACTGTAAAAGATCTGAAGGACGAGTTGACATTTCAGATATCTGAGCAAACTGAGGCATTGGCGGGGAGCCTTGAGGAGCCAGCAAGGCAAGGAGGAGGAGGGCTTAGAATACAGTGATAAGGACTTCCCTTTCTATGGAAATAGCCCAGGGAATGAAGTCCCAGAGGACAGACTGAGGACACAGACCTACTCTGGTGGCCGCAGAAAGGGGGCTAAGTATTCTACCTGGGTGGCCCGTGAGGAGTTTCCAGTTTTTGTATCTGATCCCAGCATGGATAGATGTGTTAAAGGCAGAATGTTCTAAAGGAAAAAAATCGTTCTTTACTGGAGTCATGTTCTTGCCAGGACCTGGGAAGAAATAGTTTGGAAGAATTAGATTGCTTGTTATTGGCCTGTGTCATTATAAATCAACATTTTATACCCTTCTTGCAGAACAGTAGCCTTTGTTCAACACCAGAGTACAAATGTGTGTCTTGCCACAGAAACGAATCTTTTATTAAATACAAACAGAAAGTATAGTTACATTAGATGTCAGTCATAAACCACCACAAATATAAAGGAAATCCCAAGGAGATTAGAAGACTAATCCATCCTTAAAAATCACTGCCTCCCGCCAACACACAGAGGCCATGTGCATAGCAGTGTCTGTTACAGCAGCTGAAGCTGGGCAGTTAGTGGTTGTGTGCATGAGCACGAAGCGTGTGTGTGTGTGTGTGTGTGTGTGTGTGTGTGTGTGTGTGTGGTGTGTGCGCATGCACGTGTGCACATGCACTCGTGCAAGTGAATGGTTGTACCTTTGAAGATAGTATATAAAATTATAAAATGCACATTTTATTGAAGTCTCCCTCAAGCTAGGAGAGGTTAAGCACAGTACAAAAAAAACTACAGATTCATTTCTTTTTAACCACTCATGAAATTTAAGCATTAGTGAGTAACGTTTTTAACTATTCAACAGAATAGCTATGGGTATATGAACAGTTTGGGTATATAAAGTCCTGGTGGTTTGAATAGGTTTGGCCCACATAAACTCATGTGTTTGAATGCTTGGTCCACAGGGAGTGGCACTATTAGGAGGTGTGGCCTTGTCGGAGGAAGTGTGTCACTGTGAGGGTGGGCTTTCCCCAGAGTGGATTTAGAAAGCCTCTTCCTGGCTGCCTGAGGAAGACAGTCTCCTGGTGCTTTTGGATCAAGATGCAGACCTCTCAGCTCCTCCTACACCAGGTCTGCCTGCACACTGCCATGCTTCCTGCCATGCTGATATGAATGGAACCCCTGAAACTGTAAGCCAGGCCCAGTGAAACGTTTTCCTTTATAAGAGTTGCCTTGTGTCTCTTCAAAGCAATGGAAACTCTAACTAAGACACATGTATTATATTAATTTATCATTTTAAGGTCTTACAGCAGTTGATCAAGTTTCTGAGGGAGCAGTTATTAATACTCACCAAGTTTAGAACCAACTACGAGCCAGAGCCAGATAGACCGAGCTAAGTTATCACCTTTGTACTGATGAAACTGCCTCTGGAGAACATGGCTTCTGGTCACAGTAGAAAGAACTGTGCTCGTAGCTGGCCCTTGGCATTTACTTAGCCACAGTGACTGAGCTTATGGGCAGTCTCAGGGGTCCCTTAGAGCACACGGTGAGGCTCAGACTGCTTGCAAACATCCAGGACACGTGCTGGCTCTCAACTTAGATTCAGGAAAGAGCCTCAGCTGAGCACACTCAGTCTGTTATTTTTGGCTAACTTCTCTCATCTGCATAGGTGAAGTTCCTTTAGCTGAGGGCATTATTTGACCCAAGATGGCAAGGGATGGGTGTATTCATGACCATGAGTACCTATTTACGTATCTATAAGTTTCAACTTTTGGACCTCACTGAATACTATTTAGTCTGTTTTAAGTTCACATTTCTTTCTTAACTTTTCAGATATAGTCAAGGTAGTTGTCCTGGGGACACTTCAGAGGGTCCCCTTCTTTCATTGAACAAGTAGACAGCCTAGTAACTAAGTGCCACACTGTGTGGCTATGCCTGTAAAAGTAACAGACTCAAAACCGCAATGAAACGATACAGGGCTGGGGGCGGAGCTTACTTGCAGAGCCCTTGCCTAACATGCTCAGGCTCCAGCACCTGCCAGAACACAAACCAAAACAACAAAGTCCACACTCCACCAAGGAGATGAAAGGCAGGCGGGGGTTCAAGACCAGGCGTCAAATGACAACAAATCAACAGTCTTTGTGTGTTGTGCCATGCCCTACAGAGCTCCAGGGCTCCCTGGATTCAACACAGGAGTTGGCACAGGCTCTACAGGCCATGGAAAAGGTGTAAGTTCTATCCCTTGTCAGTCTTTCCAAGTCTGGGAACCGATCCAGCACACATCAGCGCTTGCAGTCTTATCAGGCACCCACAAGGTAAACCTGCCTGATTTCTTGGTTCTTTGCTTGCAAATATTTTGGCTGTAATACAAATGGATGCTTCTAGTGATGGAGACAGGCAGGGATGTGCATCACAGGAAGGGGATTCAGGGCATACAGGCTTCGCTAAAACCATGAATCCTCTCCTCTCCCTCACGAGTTTGTATAAAAGGCACATACCAATATCAAACATTTTGGGTATTAAATAAAACAAGCACGATTTTGTGAACATAAACAGAAGGAAGGGAACTGCTATCTCAGCACTACTTATATTTATATACATTTTTTTCTTAAAACAAACAGGAAGAGAAGATACCTAAACAACAAGTCTAGGGCTAAATGATGAATGATTCTATTATCTCAACTTTATTTTTCTCTTTTTGAGTGACCGATCACAGAGAACTTGTCAAAGGATACTAACTCCCTAGAACTGTTGCCATGTGAACAGATGTGAATGTTTTGCCACATTTCCTTCAGAAACTTCTATTACGTTTTATTTATTTTATATGAATTTGTATGCGTGTGTGCATGTGCATATGTGCATGTGTGTGCGTGCTCGGGTGGGTACACAGGCGTGCATGTGTCACTGTGGTATGTGGAGATCAGAGAACAACTTGAAAGAGTTATTTCTCTCCCTCCATGTGGATCCGGGAGACTGAACTTAGGTTGTCTGGTTTGGCGGCCGGTGCCTATACCCACTGAGCCACCCAGCCCCACATTTGCTTTTTTAGCAAAAGAAAGTGACAACAAGGTGAAGTTGAGCCTCCTTTGTCCTCACGCAGTTCTCTATTCCACATGCTGTGCTCCTATGGCTCCTGGGCATCCATCCCCAGCCATTTCACAGCACAGGCCATGTGTGTGCCAAGGAGGACACACAGCACTATGTCATACCTTACACACGTGTGTTATTATACACATTCTATACATAACTAGCATTCCCTCTTTAGAGTTCTATAATTATATATGTGTGCGTATTCCTCTTCACTGTTTAAATTCACTGTACAGAATACCTAAGCATGTTAATCTCTTTCTCTGTCGACGTTCTCAGCCCACTTCACTTAGTGTCTGGAATTGGTTACCCCGAAGTGAGTACTGCTGCCTACGTCTCACACAAAAGATGGAGCTTCTCTGGGCTCAGTGTCTACAACTGACCACTTGAAGGGTTTTGCTTTTCCATCATAGCAATTGGCTCTCCTATCAGAATAGCCCCATTCCCCCGAGTCCTGTACCACCTAAAATTCTTGAAAAAACTTCATCTTTGTGAAGAATTTATTCAATGAGAACTGTTTTTTTTTTTCAGTGTCAAAGAAAGGAGTTCTTATAAACACCTTGAGACCAGCTCTGTTGAGAAAATGGTGTAGATCACAGGTGCATAGCTTGACGGACAGGAGACCGAGCATTGCCAGGGCGCTAGGACTCACAGCAGAACTTCCAGATGTTCCCTCCTTGCTCCAAGGTACCTGTGACTTACCTCTGGACAGCAGAGATGCTTTCTGCCTGCTTTTGAACTCAGTGTGAACAGAGAGTATGTAGTATGATACTCTCACTTCTGGCTCCTTTTAATCTAAAAATGTCTAGTCTGACAAGACTCGCCCACAAAGCGGCTACCCTGAGATTGTGTGTAGCAGCGGGAGTCGGCCTGGCTTGGGTACTTCTCCACTGCCATCACTGGAGACAGTCCATTGGTGAAAAGCCCACACCTTTATCTTATGTTTGAGTTTGAAACCCATGTGGAGCTGATTTTTGTCTATGAAGAAAGGTAGGAATTAAGAATGTTCTTTTTTTCTTCGTCTTTCAGATATGGATTTTAATGATCTAAACAGCATTTAGTGCAAAGGCTGTCCTCTCTACACTCATCTGCGGTGACGCCCTTGCCAACAGCCCCATGGGCTGAGTCTGTCCCTAAAGCTCCAGTATCCAGGAGGCCTCTCCATGATGCTGGCAAGGGGCTGTGTGTGTGTGCTGGGCTGTGATCATGTACCAGCCACGTGCGGCTGTGGAGCACATGGAATGTGGCTGGTACAGCCAAGGAACTGATTTTATAGCTTACTGTTTTGAGATAGGGTCTCACTATGTAGCCCTGGCTAGCCTAGAGCTTGCTATGTAGACCAGGCTGGACTTGAACTCAGAAATCTACCAGATTTTGACTCCCTGAGTGCTGGGATTAAAGGCGTGTGTCACCATGCCTGGCTATTTACCTAACACATGATTTTTAACTTAACACATGTTCTACCACCGAGCTATGCCCTCAGCTTTATACACTTATTAAGTATTTTACTCTTTTTTGATGCTATTAAAATGTCTTTCTAAATTTTCACGTTTGTTTAGCTCACATCTACTGTATGAGGTACAAATGACTATGTTCTACTCTGTTATTGCAAACTTGTCGAAGCTGTTTTTATTAGTCCTCACAGCTTTTAAGTGTTGATTCATGATTTTAAAAATTATATCTATTTATCTATCTATCTATCTATCTATCTATCTATCTATCTATCATCTAATTATCTATCTACTGATCATCTATCCAACTATTTGGTGTTGTGCACATGATGTGAGTGTGAGCATGTGAGTGTGTGTGTGTGTGTGCGTGTGTGCATGCCAGGAAGTGTATGGACAGTTTGAGGGCATGGTTCTCTTAGGCTTTCCTACATATAGGTCTGATGCTCAAAGTCAGGTCACGAGGATTGGTAACAAGAGGCTTAGCATTCTTGATATTCAGCATCATGACAGATTTACTTCCCTGACCATTTGTGTCTTTTCTCCCCCTCCCCATCTCATGTTTCCTTGCTTTGCCCAATTCTCCATATAGTGCTGATGTAAGCAGAGAGAGCAGAATGCAGTCCTTGTGGCCCCTGATCTATGGGGATAACTGTAGAGCTTTCAGAATAGACCTCTCATCCCTGTAAGACTCACACCGATAGCCCGAGTGCTCCTGTCAGT